ATCCTTCTCTGTGGCATGTTGCTACTGCTGGGATGAGGAGAAGAGGCTGTATCCATAGAAGCACGGAAAAACTCCACTGACTCCATTCCAAACATGGCTAGTCCAGATCCTTCCTTATCCAAGACACATCCTGTCAAAGCTGGGCCTGGTTCACATATGTTGCCTTATAATGATTTCATAAGGTTCAAATTCATTAACCAAGGAATCAGTTAAAATCAGTTGTTTTTCAAACTTCATAAATCCAGATATTTGTGACTAAACTTAATGCCCAGCAGGACATCTCTATGTTATCTTAATTTCTCCTTCACAACATTTGTCTTTATCTTGGTCCTGGACTGGTTGCCAGGATGCATGGTGTGAGGATGTGTCACAACAGACTACAGCCAATTTGCTAAGCACGTAGAAAGACAAAAAGATGACTCTGAGCCAGCGGATGAGTCAATTAGTGCTTACCACAGGCAGACCTTCTAGATCTTTACAGCAGTTCTCAATTTTCTCCTTACAAAAAGGAAAATGTGATTTTACAATGAAAGGTGGGAGAAGAGTCATCAGTGCATGCCATTCTCCTGTTTTAATTAGTATTTATTATGTATGCCATCACCAGAGATCTCCAATTTCTCTCTACGTCTGTTATAGTCAAATAAATACAGAAATTGTTTCCTTACTCTCCAGCATATACTTCTTGGTGATGGGCAAAGGCAGCAGTCGGATATGACTGATGAGGGAGCCCCACACGTGGGCTCTGGTCAGTGTAGTCTCCGGTGGCGAAAGGGTATATGGCTGGATCATAAAATATGCAGTTAGTAAAACTAACCCCAAGGTAATCAGGCCCTGCAAGAGAAGACAGGAATTTGATTACTTGCACTACAGTAACTTTGTATTCAGAGTGAGAAATTTCCCCTTTCAAAGAATCAAGGGGACTCTTCTTTGTCCATCAATTATCACTGGCTGAGACAAGCCAATTTTAACCTTCATGTTGCAAGTTTTGGTCTTAGAATGAGGGCGATCTGGTTAGGGTTAGGAAATTTACCTTTTTCATTTGTGCAGAACAACAGATAAAACACTTTCAAACATTTGTGAATGCATGCCTTTTTAGATAATGTAACCTTTTTACTCTGTGGACATAATCTAGAAACCATGCAGCTTATTCATCACACAAAGAACACATTTCCTTCCACACATGCAGAGCAGCCTCCAATGCAGGAGAGCAAATAATGCAGGGTTACATCCTACTGCTCCACTCAGGTAATGGTAAAACCTTCTTCCAATGCAAGGAGCCTTCTTCTAACACTTGCCTCTTACACTGGAAGAAAGTGCTGCAGTTAGGAGAGCAGTAAGACAGATCCACTGTATACAAGTTGGAAATGTTGCTGCAGTCTGCAGTATATCAACTGGCAAGGAGGCTAGGGAGGATGACCAGATAAGTATGTTTGCATGCACAAGCTTCCTACACAACTAAACAGGTTCTCAGGATTGCATCCCCCTGTGTCACTAAGGAAGGAACCTTAAGAAACAATTCAGAATTCCTAACATACAACTGGAGACCTCAACAGCTTGCACATTGCTTTGTGACAGATTGGTCAATCCTAGCAAACAGATGATATGCTGCTGTGTTTTGTCTTTTAACATTTAATTTTTAATTTATTGGCAAAAGGTTATAGTTAATTCAAATTTTGCTTCTTTAGTTTTTCTGAACTCAAAAATCCAAATGCAGCCAAATCTGGAATAGAAGCATGACATCAACCTTCAAGAATATCAATCATAAATCCTCTCTTTTTCTTGGCATTCACATGCCTCTGCCAAACAGGTTTATCTGTGCTAATGCTCTCCGCCAAGAAGCAGAAACTAGACTTGTTGCCAGTTTCAATAAAAAGCATTTGACAGGTCTGCTTAGTATTTGGGAAATGTATACATTTGTGCAACATCAACAGCACTGTAATACGTTCTGCTTTTCACTCCAAGCCATATATACTCTTACATTATTTTAACTTTTTGGCCAAAACCTTCATTCTCAAAAGATTTAAATCACTGATGCAGGGTAGCTTTAACTGAAACACACATGTGCAAAAACAAGCAGAATGATTACTTAAAGTGAGGGATTGATCATGCTGATTGTATTCCAAGCACACATTACTCAAGACTGGAAAACAAATCAGAATGGAATTAATCAGCTTGTAGTTTGGGGAGACCTTTAGGCATTTCAGCCCAGGAAGATGTTATAACTGTGTTTTGGGGTAAGGGGGAAGCATGGTTAGTGAGGGTCTTGGGGCATGTGAGTTACAAGAATACTCCAAACATATGCTATCACGTTCTCATTTCATGCATGTTTCAACAAGGTCAGAGACAACACTTGCCATCTCTGACTTGACTGGACTTTATAGCAACCAAGAATGATGGGTCAGAGCACTGGCAGATGCCTACCAACCTCGGATATCACAGCCTCCTGACAAAAGAAATGCTATTTGAAGAGCACATCTTTCAGTATACATACCTCTATGCAATCAACTTGAAGCAACCAACCAAACTGAGTCAGGCACAGAGACACTACAACCTTTACTCTACATGTGCCAGTGTTAACATTCCTCTCACAGAAGCGCAATTATTAAAAATGACTGCAGTGATTTAAGCTTCTACCAACCTCTTATATTGTTGACTATTGCATTTCATACTCTGTTGGCCTCAATCTACAGTACATTTTCCATAAGGACATAGTAATTTACCTTATAGAGAACGATCAAAAGAGGATATCGTGGGGGTCCCCGCTGGGGTTCATTTTTCTCCAGGAGTTGTCTGATGAATTTCTCTATGGCTTTTTCAGGCATACCACACTGATAGCCAGTCTGTCTCACTAAGTCAATGGTCTCTGAGAGTTTATCATAAATACTGAGTTCATTGGCAGAAAGCTCCATGTCCTCTGGTGGAAAATCCAAAACGGAAAAAGTTAAAAGTGTTAAAAATAAAATAATTCATTGCCTAAAGGATGTGCTTCAAAAAATTATCACAGGAAAGCACAGAAATTTCCCAGTTCATTTGAACACAAAGAAAACACTTTAGAGGTTCAACCATAACCTGGAGCTACTTCAGCAGCCAGTATCTGTGAATATCAATTGCTGTGAAGCAAAGAACAGGGTAGAGCAGGGGTGGCCAAACTTGCTCAACGCAACAGCCAGACAGAATAAACATCAGATAATTGAGAGTCACAAGACATGAACAAATATTACACACACGTGTATGTTGAAAAATATGCAAATTCACTTTTTATTAACATTAAATTAGACTGTGTGAAAGAGCCGCATGCGGCTCCTGAGCTGCAGTTTGGCCACCCCTAGGGTAGAGCCTTGATCATAGGTCTCCCAGAAGCATTTGGCTGTCCACTGTGGGAGACTGAATTCAATGGATCCTTAGCCTCATCTATCAGGACTCTTCTTGCAGTCTTATGAATCTAACACAAATTATATCCAAGTAAGTTATACTTTCTAAAGAACAACAGAGAAATAATGGGAACCAAGCATCAGAATTTCTGCTGATGGAGAGCATGGTACCTCCTTGAATGAGGATTGGCCTTTGCGCATTCTTTCCAAATGAAGATCTAAACAACAGAAGCTATTTCTGATCAAGGGATACTAAGAGCAACAATGCAACCAAAGCTGAATGCCAAAGTTAGCATTTGTGAACCAGTGTTTAGCTACAATAAAATATGACTTAGTCATCAAACTCTTTGGTTATTGTTTCTTTCACCATGTGAATATTTGTGAAATTCCTGGCAATTTAATCACCAAGGCCACACTGTACTTGAATAATGATATCAATATGCTGAGAACAGAAAGCATCAAGAGTGTTAAGCTATTTCTGAAGCTTCCTTCAAGGTCCTGGGGTATGATGCTTTCAACTGAATTGAAAAATACATCTGTTTCTCTGCAGAGACCAAAATGTACTGCATGTCAATCAGAGGATATACAAAAGGAGAACACAGAAATAAGGAGAAAATCCAAAATATTAAAAAGTCTGTGAGAATAACTAAGAACCCATAAATAACTGGATTTAGTAATGATATATTAATATAAAAAGGTAAAGATTCCCTTGCTCGAAAGCCAGTCGAATCCAACTCTAGGGTTGCGGTGCTCATCTCCGTTTCAAAGCCAAAGAGCCAGCGCCGTCCGAAGACATTTCCGTGGTCATGTGGCCGGCATGACTAAACACCAAGGCGCATGGAACGCTGTTACCTTCCCACTGAGGTGGTACCTATTTATCTACTTGCAATTTCTTGCTTTCGAACTGCTAGGTTGGCAGGAGCTGGAACTAGAGACGGGAGCTCTATGTAAATAACCTACAACCACAATATAGTGCATAAATCACTACTTCATAAATACAACATAATAAACGTCCAATACAAAGTGCCTAAATCATATACAAAGTTCTTACCAAATTATTTATGTTTTATGAAAAGCACAATTCCTGGACTACAGTCTCTATAGCTGCTGTAAATAATACATGCGTGTTGCATTCCAAATGATGCTTGCGACTCTTTTAAGTAGTTTTTGCCAAATTTCACAGCTAGCAACATAATATAATCATGTTAAACTTGTTGGATTCCAAATAATGATTGTGGCTCCTTTAAGGAGTCCTTGTCAAGTTCCAAAACTTGCAGTGTAAAAGCCTCCTGTTGGATTCCAGATAATACATGCAGCTCATTTAAGCAGTCATTGCTAGTTTACAAAACTAGCAAGAAAATGTAGTAGTATGTAGTTTGACAGAAACACCAGCATAAATCTTCAGTTTCAAAAATCTTCTTCAGAGGCTAATGGCTCACCATCATGCTTATCACACACATGGAGATTACCAGCACCTTAAGGTAAAGGTCTCCCTTGCTTGAAAGCCAGTTGAATCCGACTCTAGGGTTGCGGTACTCATCTCCGTTTCCAAGCCGAAGAGCCAGTGCTGTCCGAAGACATTTCCATGGTGATGTGGCCGGCATGACTAGACACCAAGGCGCACTGAGCCTCAAAACAAATGGCCAATCAGTGAAGCTGTTTTAGAAGAGGAGTAATATCTTCATAATGGCTTGTCTCAATCTGAAGATGAGCAACCACACTTTGTACTACCTGAAATTTCTGGCAGTGCAATCCTTGACAGTTATTCCAGTGTATCCATGGAGTTCAGTGGTCTTAGACTGCAGAAAATCTGCATAGGATTGCACTGTAAGATGTCTTTAAGGGCAGGCCCATGAACATTATATGAGAGGAGAAGAGATTGGATTTATACCCCCGCCCTTCACTACCCGAAGGGGTCTCAGAGCAGTTTACAATCCCTTTCCCTTCCCACAACAGACACCCTGTGAGGTAGGTGGGGGCTGAGAGAGTCCTCTCGAGAACTGCCCTTGAGAGAACAGTTCTGAAAGAATTTATGACTGACCCAAGGTCACACTAGCAGCTGCATGTGGAGGAGTGGAGAATCAAACCCAGTTCTCCCAGATTAAAGTCCGCACTCTTAACCAGTAACTTTAAATTGTTGTTTTAAATTGTTTTTAAATTGTATTATATATTGTATTGAGACTGATGGAACTTGCCGTGAGCCTGCTTGCAGGGAGGGTGGGATAAAAGATCAATTAAAAAAAATGCACCAAACTGGCTCTCCTCACAGTACTCAAAATTGAAGGTTACAACTGCATAGGTTAGTGAGGCCAGTTCAGATGGGTACTGATAGGGAAAATAATTTATGAACAAGATGTGATTGAAAGACAGCACCCTTATCAACGATGCCAACCTGTTTCTTCAACAGCAAGGGTGTCTTGAAAAGAACTTCTGATCTGCAAATACTGCCAACAGGGCCAGTGTTTCATAGTGGTGTTGATCCTGGTATGAACTTCCACTCTGCCATTTGATGCTTGCTGGGTGACCTTGGGCCAGTCACACACTTTCAGCCCAGGCTACAACCTACCCCACAGGAGTGTTATAAGGATAAAACGAAGGAGAGGATAATTATGTAAGCTCCTCTGTGTTCCCATCCAGGGAGAAAGGCAAGGTATAAATGAAGTAAATAAGTAAACACAAGTATCCTTTTCACCTGATCTGCAAATGACAACCTAACTCCACCCAGGGTTGGCAGATTAACTCCTTTCAGAACATCAGCCTGCCCAACCTACATGACATCCATTTAGTCTAGCTTCTATGGACCAACAAGGAAACCTACAGTTTGTTTTTTTCCACGCATTCTGTCCCCGCTAAGATTGTAAAGGCAGGCGACAAGAAACATAAATCTTAGCACAGCGAAATAACAGCTGTTCTCAGATTTCGGCTAAGAATCAGCCCTCTGGGAACCCAGCGACGTCAAGGCTGGGCCCACAATTTCTGGAACTGACACTTTCCCCCTAAACTTCCTTTTCGTGCTGACACCGCCGTTGCCAGGCGAAGCAACAGCAGCCTCCGCGCTTGTGCTGGCAGCGCCTGTCCTCGCAGGCCTCTCCGAGTACTCATTTCTGTCACATCAACCACACAAGGCAGCAGCCAATGACACCGCGGGGAGGGGGGGTCTGGACGGTCACTGGAATCGGCAGCACCCGCTGGGGGCTTTGGCCCCCCCCCCCCGGCCGCCCAGCCAATCCCCAGCCGCTCTCCCACAAGGGCAGCAAGACGAGCGACATGTCCACCTCCAGCCCCCCCGCCTTCTTTCCCGGCTGCTTCCCCAGTCACTCCTCCGCAGCCTGCCGCCCCAAGAGGTAGTGCCCAAGCCCGTCACAGGACACGGCTCCTCCCGCCCGAACCTGGCAGCGCCCAGCCGCTTCCCGCGCGCCCCTTCACCTCCTCACCCCGTGAACCGCCCGGACGAGTCCCGCAAGGCTGGAGGGAGGGCTCGGGCATGGGAGCGGGATCCCCGTGCAAGCGAGTGGGCTCGGCTCTTCCTGCTTCCGGGGCGAGGCCGCACATCCACCGCAATGGCGCCTCCGCTTCGCCAGCGCTCCGGAGTGTCCGAATCTTGCTCAGGAGCGATCCGATCGTCGCTTGTTAATGTGTCACCAATTGTTCGCCTTCGCCGCCGTCAGCAGCAGCCGGAGCGCCGGGGGGTTGATTCGGCTCCTGAGTGAGCCGGGTCAAGGCTGCAGTCCCGTCCAGGGAGAAAGGCCCCTTCCGAACTCGCATCGGGTTGCAACTGTGTAGTCCAATCTTGCTCATGTAAAATTCAGTTGACTTTATTTCCAAAGTGCTCCTATGACTGCAGCCCTAATGGTCGACTTCTGGGCTGCTATTGTACGATGTCCAAAAATACATTCCCTGGAGTTCGTCTGTGTGGTGCTCTGAAAGACAGGGGGCCTGCCCTATCAATAGTTTTATTCTGTGGAGTGAATCTATATTCTTCATATATGCTAAATAATGAAGTTTCAGTCCACTTCAGCCACTGTTTGCAAGTGGATTTTGCCATTTCACACAGTAAAATCCAGTTGCAAAGTGCATTATTTAGTGAGTGTGAAAGCACCTAAGACACCTCTTTAAATTATGGGACTTACTGGCACTATGTTTGTTTGCATGCTTTGGAAGGTATGGAGTAGGTGAAAATACTTGCATGAGCCTAAAAATAAATGCCGGAAAACCTTGCGCACACTGTTCTCAAGCCAAAGCCAGGTTAGGTTTGAGGCCTGACATGTACTTCCTGAACAAAAAGGTTCCATGATAGTTCCCACTGCCTCTCTGTCTGGTGACTTGTTCTGCTTTGAGATGTCGATTATATGTGATGAAACAGGTTCTTGCGGAGGAAAGCTAGTGCCACAATAGACTGGTTTGTCTGACATTTTCTTAAAATGTTGCTTTGGCAGCAGCTGCCACCACAGCACAAGGATCTGCACTGTGTTACTGAAGCTGTGGCAATCATTTTGTGGCTGGCTCTGGCTCCTGTGGCAGCCAGTTTGTTGCTGTGCCCACCATGCCATGTCAGAATTCAAAATGTGCCTGCAGGCTCAAAATGTTTGGGGACTCTACACTAGATCTTTGATGAGGCCTCATTTGGAATACTGTGCACAGTTCTGGTCAACTTATTTTCAAAAGGATTTTGCAGAGCTAGGAAAAAAGTACAAAAGAGGGCAACCAAGATGATTAAGAGGTTGGTGCCCCTTTTCTATGCAGAAAGGCTGGAGTGTCTGGGACTTATCAGTTTAGGGGGGGAAAGACTACTGAGAGGACATGACAGAGGTCTGTAATATTATGCATGGAGTATTATTATTCACTTATATATTTAATTTATACCCCACCCTCCCCGCAAGAGCAGGCTCAGTAGAGTAGAGTAGAGAATGTGGATAGGGAGAGCTTTTTCTCCCTACCTCACAGTACTAGCACTCGGGAGCAACCAATTAGGTCGATGGGCAAGAGATTCAGGACAGACAAATGGAAATACTTCGGCTGCGATCACACACACAACCCCACCCATCAGCGCCCCGCACCCGTCAGCAACCCATTTTGCTCTGCCACAGAAGCAGAGTAAAAAGACACCGGGGAAAATCCGGTAGTAAACAGGTTGCAACGGGCCATGGACGGAGCTTCCCGTGTCTGATTGCTCCAGTGCGCTCTCATGGCATCGGGATGGCTTCTGTGCCATTGTTTCCCCCCCCTTCTCAGTATGCGCATCATCGCACATTCCATAGGGAGTCGTCAGTGCGGAGATGTGATTCATCAATTCCCTGTTTAAGCACATCGGAAACAAACAGCAAAAAAAAATACCCAACTCACCCGCGGTTGCATCTGATCACACAGTGGCGAGCTGGCCCTGCAGCTTCAAAGGACTGTGTGATCACACAACTGCAGGTCAAATTCCTCCGGAGGGAATAGCCTCACTCCCCCCCCCCACTTTATCTGGTGCATGTGACTACAACCAGTTGGCTGCTGTGTGAAACTGGGTGCCGGAGCAGATGGACCACTGGTGCGATCCAGCAGGGCTGTTCTTATGTTCTTATATCCCAACTGCCTTCTACACCTATCCTTAGTATTGAGAACTATGCAGCATCTTATCACCAGTTACCAATTCCATCTAAAGGCCATGTACTCTTTCATCCTTGTTAGCCCATCTCCAAAAGGCGAGTCTGGTCCAATGATCTACCTGTCCCCTCAGCATCCCCCATCCTGTATCTCAGTAATCAACCCCCAAGAAATCTTTGTTCACTAATTATTTTTAGAATCTATATCTTTACTAAAAATGGCACCATGGAGTTCTCATGAGTGATTAACATAATACAGTATCAGTCAGAATCATACCATACATGCCCAAGCATTTGTGGTACTGTTGACCATCCTAAATTTCATAACCTAGACCCATCACATTTCCCAGTTTTATAAACAACTCAGCCATCTGTACAGCACTTTCCATCATACTACCTCATCCATATGGCCTTTCACTGGTTCGCATTCCATGTCTTCTTGACCCATAGCCAATCATTGCCTCTCTCATTTTCAGTCTCTTGAATCTGTTCTACTGTCACCTTCCCTTAATGAGTTGATCATTCAGTCATCTTCATACAAGCTCCATGTCCTGACTTTCCGTAGCATTTCTGCTTTCTCATGGGGAATCCATTATGCTGATAAATGAGGACCCCAGTCATCTTGAACATTTTAGAAGAACAGTACTGCACGGAAAACGATAACTAATGTTTCTTGTAAGATGGTAGATGCTAGGCATGTGCAAGATCACATGGGTAAATTCTTGCTCATCAACATCACATTTACATAGAATATATAAAATGGAACATGCTTGATACTATTTATACTTTAATAATTTTGTCATACCCCTGAGTTAGGTGCATTCTTGTTTATAAGCTGGCTGGTTTTCAATTAGTGTGTGTTTTCCTTAATCATGCAATTTGCTTATAAACTGCTGTTTTAGCTGGAAAACTAATTTCAATGTGATTTTTTAAAAGTTGTTTACAGCTTTAAATTCTGGAATACATTTAAATTGGCCCAACTAATGAATTTTAAATTGTGTTTGCTGCCATCTTGTGGGGAAAGTATAAGAATAAGCCACATTCATTTTTTGCAGTATTTATTTGGTTAAAGTAATATTTTTCTGATAAGCAACAAAAGCACCATCTTCTGTGCATAACTGAATCATCATTTAAAAGAAACTTTTTGTCTACATGCCACATCACAGCTATGCGGTAACACTGGATAAACAAAACAGCCTGAAAAGAGCAGGAGGTCTGTTTGGCTCATAGTTAAGACCTTTCAGTTTTGTAACAACTTTGTTTAATTGAGTTTCCAATGTGTTTATTAAATATTCCAAATTAATTTTGAATTTGGCTATTGATCTGGCTGGGCTACTTTTTTAAACAAAAAAAGATACTTGTGGCAAAGACTAACAGGTTTGTAGTGGCATAAGCTTTCAGGGACTTGAGCCCATTTAATTAGATGCATGAAGTGTGTTCTTATTTGGCAGAGATATCTACATTAGACACACAAAAATTGTAAATGGTGGAGTCAAAAAGCAGTTAAACATTCTGTGATCTTTCATAGAATTAATTTAGAATTACTAAGCTAATTTAAAACTGGTTACAGGATAAGATATTAATGTCCTTTCTGAGGCATTATTATGCAGTGTCAAACATCCTAATGATTTCTAATTCAGCAGTTTCATGCTAGAGTCTCCCTTTGACATTCTTTTGGAACTGATTATATTTTCTTCTTCAAAATATTCTAGACTTTCTGATAACAGACTTAAGAAGCTGGTTCAAAACACTTTGCACAAATCTGACACTGTAATAAATCACTCCATCTTTTAAACTTTCACACTAATTTAAAACCATTGTAAAACTTTAAAATATGTGACAAAGACATCAGATAGATAGCTATTTCCTAGGACAAATGTGGGAAATACAGAAAAATAAAGTTTCTGTTAAGGGCAATTTTAAAAAACAAAATTGAATATATGTACCCCAGCAACTCCACTTACTTCCTGCCTCACCAGAATAGCTGCTCCATGCACTTCTGCTCTGTGTTGGAAACTGAGGAAGGAAATTAAAAAAAAAACCCCTGCATTTCAAGTGTTGTCTTTAAAAAGGAGAGGTGGTAGGGGAACATACGAGGCCAGCTGCTGCCAAGAAATGTTTATTATAGAAATCTGACACTCAAACACATTAGATTGGTTTTAGTGAAATTTACTTCATAAACAATCCAGTAAAGCACTGAGGTACATGTTCCATCTGACGCTGAGTCAACAGCTGACTTACAATGACTTGTAGAGTACATTTAGGGCCTCACTGGGGTATGGATGGTGAAAGTGACTCAGTGGCATATTGTGGGAGTCTCTCTACATATTTGGGAAGAATGTGTGAACTCTTTTAAGGTTACTGACTATAATTGCACACTTTCACAGAGTCTAACAACTCCAGAACAAATGGTCTTGGTTATTCTGTAATCTTTTTTTTTTTTTAGTGCTACCTGGATTTCAGTTACGATCTCTTCTTGTAACCCAGATTCTGCAGCTACACATACTTGGTTTATTTGTTTGTTTTTAGAATGAGAAAGGAGAGACCCATGTATGTTCCTTGGAGGAGGCACAGAATGTAACATACAGGCAGATAGTCTTTAAAGATTAAATGAATATAAGCACCCTTATAAAAGCTATCTTTTACTAACTTCATTCCATTAGAGATAGGTGCAGCACCTGAATGATAAAAATTACCACCTTTTTTGACCTTGCTCTGTGCCTTCAGATAGTAGACTAATGAACAGAAACTAAAGTAGGTGAACAGTGCAATCCTATGCAGAGTTGATTTCAGTGGACTTATCCTGGAGTAACTCTGCGTAGGATTGTATCATAACTTTCTCTGGCATGAAATAAGAAAAACTTTTCATGCAAAGCTTCTTCTCCATAAGCTTCTATAAATGCATAGG